TGGAGAGCTCAAAACAAATGATTTTCTTACTTCACACTAAACTTATAATACTTCTATTCAAGGATAAACATACACTGAGCAAATATAAATATTTAATTTATAAATTAGAAAAGCTGAAATAAATGATCCAACATTTGAAATTCGTCTAAGTGCATTTAATATATTAACGAAAGACTCATTAAATAGAAAAAATATGTAATATGTGTATTGACTGTTGGTGTTTTATAATTTTGAAAAATATAATTTTTTTTATCTTACTAATAATGTGATGAATATATGATTCCTAACTTTTTGTTGTAGTATGAATTATAACTTATTATTCATATTCAAGCTTGTATCAATTCAAATTAAAAGAAAACCATATGTAGTAATGTGAAAATATCCAAGTGTGATGTGGAGTTTGTTTCTTTTGAGTTAAATTATAGTTAACATTATCAACTCGTTCGTGTTAACGAATGTGATATTCATTGTCAGTATGTAATAATATAAGTACCAAAGTAACCCTTATAAGTAAATACAAAATGCCAATAGGCACTAATTAAAACGCAGAACGCAAATAACACAATCATTACTAACAACAAATAATGTACCTTACCAAAGTGAATATACGAATAAAGCAGTATCTTCGACTAATACGGCTGGGGAAGTACCAAATATGCGGGGATTTACAGAAATGCCGCAACAGCAACGTCGAAATATCGATTTTTAAGGTCAATGGACATTCGTGTTTATAACTGAAGGTTTAGTTTGTTCTCAGTTTACGGTGATCTAACATTTCTAATATAATGTTCATATTACACGGGGTATCCGTTATGCGATGTTCATATTATCGAGTGCTTGGTGTAGTAATATGAAAGTAATGTGATGATAAATATGTTTTGGTAATTCAATAAATATGTACGTAACTACTTAATGTCCGCTTACATTTAACAAACATATTGCTTAAAAATAAAAAAAAATAATTAAAACTACACTGATCCAGTACAGAGGACAAAAAGCTACGTGTACATATAATTTTTCTTTGTCGTACCTTTTTGTATTTCGGTGATATTCATGTAAAATAAATAATTTAAATACTGTTATTGAGTAATTCGAAAACAATGTGCTATTAATTGCCTTTTATTGCTCGTCTCACATAAGCTAGAGTAGTGCTGCGTGATATGAGGCAAGGCAGAAAACTTCCCTTGAATTAGTCACATCCTAATATGAGGATTCGTCGCACATATAAAGCAGAGGAAACCATTTCTGACGCATTCTTTCGCAATTACTTCCGTTGACTTTGAACATTTTCTATTTTGTTTTGGACGTTTTAATCTAACATTTCATAATTAGCCGTAGCCAAATTTTCATTCTTACGATTAGAACAGTCTGTAGAAACAGATATTTATATTAACAATAACCTGCTCAGGTTTCTAAAAAGATGTTTGAATTCTAAAGGAAACTAAATAAAAAAGAAAGTGGAAAATATTTATGAATTACCAATCAATGCTTTAGAAATAGTGGTGGCTAAATTTTTGGCTGAAAACATATTTTAATTTATAATTAATTATTATTATTATTTGAAATTCCTTCTTACTACAACATTTTGCTATTACTTTCTGACAATTTATAAAAATATATAGACTGCAATGTAAACATCATTGTAGCCTAGGGGTCGTCCAACCAAAGATTTCATTCAGAATTTCCCCTTTTTGGACCCCTTCCTCTACCTTCGTCACGCTGTCACACTAACAAATATTACATCAGAAAAGCTAGCCTCCCCCAATAAATGATTTTTTCTGATTAAAAATAGCGATGAGAATGACTTTCTGTCGTAATTTTTAAGAAAAGCTTAGATCAGTCCTAAGACTGGTTGGACACGTACCTCCACTCTTTCCTTTCCTGAGCTAAACTTCGCATTTCCCTAAAACTAGAACAACCCACATCCTTAACTATTTGCCAACAGTAATCTAACCTACGTCTACCTCTACCCCTCCTAACTCCTGTTTCTGCCTCTAATATGTCTCTGACTAGACCTTCATGCCTGAGAAGGTGTCCCACCAACC